TGAGTTACCTTTCTTTATACGAGCACTAATTTAGATCTCTTCCAGTAAGTTGGCCAAATTTCTTGACATAGATGAGTGAGCACCATCAGTATTATATCAGTTTGTTGAAAACATTTCAATTTATATTCTGTCAATTCCTGGAACTTTGATTTTCACCAATGCCTTCAGTGCTGTTCGGATTTCTTTCTTCAATACCATCAGTTCTTGATTGTGTGCATTCTTTTGAAATGGTTGAACATTGATCCACTATTTTTGGTGCAGTGACTGTGTATTCTTTGCATCTTCTTTTGATTTTTCCAGCGTTATTCAATATTTTGCCCATTGAATCCTTCAACATTGAACCCAATGCTTAAATATTTTCTTCAGTTCTTTCAGCTTGAGAAATGCTAAGTGTGTTCTTCCCTTTTAGTTCACTAACTCCAGGTCTCGGCACATTTCATTATAATATTTGACTTTGTCTTCTTGAGCTGCCCTTCAAAGTTTTCTGTTTAGCTCTTTTACTCATACAGTCTTTCAGTTGTTTTAGTTTCTCTATGTTCAAGAGCAAGAGCTCTGGTAGCACAGTGGTTAAAAGTCAGGCTGCTAGCTTAGAGGTCAGCTGTTTGAAACTGACTCCATGGCACACTACCACCACCAATCTTGCTCAAGAGTAAGATTCAGTGTCTCTTCTGGTATCCATTTTGTCTTTTCCTATCTTTTTAAAGACCTTTTGTTTTCTTCATGTATCATGTTCTTGATGTCATCCTACAACTTTTCTGGTCTTCAGTCATTAGTGTCTAATGCATCAAATCTGTTCTTCAGATGGTCTCTAAATTCAAATGGGACATATTCAAGGTCATATCTTAGCTCTTGTGGACTTTTTTTAGTTTTCTTCAGCTTCAGCCTGAACTTGCATATGAGCAACTGATGATCTGTTTCACAGTTATCCCTTGACCTTGTTTTGGTTGATGAATTTGAGCTTTTCCAATATCTCTTTCTACAGATATACTAAATTGATTTCTGTGTATTTGATCTGGTAAGGTCCACGTGTATGGCTGTTTGCTTTCTTATGTGCCATAGAGTCGGTTCTGACTCATAGTGACCCTGTACAAGCTTTCTGAGGCTGTAAATCTTTATGGGAGCAGAAAACCTCATCTTTCTCCCATGGAACAGCTGGTAGTTTCAAACTGCTAAACTTAAGGTTCACAGCCTGATTTGTAACCACTACGTTACCAGAGCTCCTTTACCTTTTATAGTGTTTAAAAAAGGTATTTTCAATGGATAATTTATTGGTCTTGCAAAATTCTATCATGTGATCTTTAGCATCATTTCTATCACCAAGGCCAACTTCTGATCCTTCCTCTTTGTTTCCAACCTTCCCATTTCAATCACCAGTAATTATCAATGTATCTTGATTGGCATGTTTGATACATTTCAGACTGAGAAAATTGGTAGAATTCTTCAATTTCATCATCTATGGCTTTAGTGGGTGTGCATAAATTTGATTAATAGTAGTGTTAGCTGGTCTGCATTGTAGGTGTCCATTCTTCTTCAATTTGTCATTCCTGGCATAGTAAACCATATGATTGTCAGATTCAAAATGGCCACTACCAGTCCATTTTACCTCAGTAATGTCTAGGCTATCAATCTCTATGTGTTCCATTTCATTTTAGACAACTTCCAATTTTCCTAGATTCATATTTCCTACACTCCACAGATTATTAATGGATGTTTGCAGCTATTTCTGCTCATTTTGAGTTTTTTCACATCAGCAAATAAAGATCTGAAAGTTTAACTTCATACTTGTCAGTAAGGTTAACTCTATTTTGAGGAAGCAGCTCTTGGCCAATCATAGTCTGAGTGCCTTCCAACCCGAGAGTCTCAACTTCCAGCACTATATTTAACAATGTCCTACTGTTATGCAGAAGAGGGCTAACCATTCAAAAGTGGCCCACCTATCCTTATTCCCAGTCTTTCTTAGTCTGGAAGCTCCACTAAACCTGCCTGCTACGGGTGACTGTATTGCTATTTAAAATACATAGCTTTCATCATTACAACAACA